GGGAGTCTCAGTGGGGTCAAAGGTCGCCCTCCTCTGTGTTTGGGGGGTTTTGTTTTTCTTTCCTTCTGTTGGATATTTTTAATCTCTGTAAGTAAGAGCTGCTCTGTTTTTTTCCCTTGATTAAAAAAAAAGAAAAACTATTACAGAAATGATCAGAGGACCTTAGTGGGAAACCCTTCCACAGGCCTCTGAGTCTCTCACATGTTCCCGTGTTTTACCCGGCGTGTGGCGTGTTTTTCTGTTCAAATCCACAGAAAGTAATTGAAAATTAACACAGAACAGTTTTCTGGTACATTATCTAGCATGTGACCTCATTCAGTTGAACACCTCGTGCACCCGGCCATAGCTTCTGGTCAGCGAAGATGTAGATGATGCAAAATCATCATATCAAAGCAATACAAAAGCACTTTTTTAGTGGCAAAACCTTAAATATGTGTAATTTGGAGAAAAAAGGTTGAGTTTTATAGAATAAACAATGACGAGGCATTAAGTGATCTTCACAAACAAACTGCATGTTCCACACAGCATAAAAATAGAATTCGTTCCGGGACCTACTTCGTATGTTAAAATATTAGTATGTTGGTTCTAATATTTCCATAAGAATACAATGTAATTCGTATAATTCGTTCCACACAGAACCGTCTACATTCAGGAGATCCCGCCCGGACTGTTAAAGGACTCAGAGGAACTTTGAAGTTTGCGTTCACATCTACAGAAGCTGAGAAAGAGGGCGGCCTCCACAGTACAAGGCTAAAGGGGGCACTAGATCATTAATACACACACACACACCAACACACACTAACTAACACACTCACACACACACACATTAACACACACACACACACTAAAGTGAGGACCAGAAAAATGTTCTCGCTTTCCAAAAAAGACCTCACTTTGTTGGTTAAAAACTAGTTATGGTTCTCACTCTGATGTAGCAACAAGGACACACACACACACACACACACACACACACACACACACACACACACACACACACACACACACACACACACACACACACACACACACACACACACACACACACACACACACACACACACACACACACACACACACACAAACAGCCCGGTGGCGTTGGGGCTCCCGGGGTCAGACACAAGAAATAAGAAACAAGGGGTTTCAAGACAAGACTCTGTGTGTGGAGTCTTTATGTGTGTGTGTGTGTTAGTGCGTGTGTGTTTGTGTGTGTGTGTGTATTAGTGTGTGTGTGTTTGTGTTAGTGTGCGAGTGTGTGTGTTAGTGTGTTAGTGTGCGGGTGTGTGTTAGTGTGTTTGTTTGTGTGTTGGTGTTTGTGTGTGTGTGCGTCTGTGTGTGCGTCTGTGTGTGTTAGTGTGTGTGTGTGTGTGTGTTAGTATGTTTGTATTAATGTGTGTGTGTGTTAGTGTGTGTGAGCTTGTTAGTGTGTGTGTGTTAGTGTGTGTTAGTGTTTATGTGTGTGTGTGTGTTAGTGTGTGTGTGAGTGTTTTACTGTGTATGTTTGTGTGCTGTGTGTGTGTTAGTGTGTGTCTGTGTTGGTGTGTGTTTGTATTTATGTTTGTGTTTGTCCAGACCAGCGTAGCTGGGTACTCGGGCCTGTGAGCGGTTAGTGTGTGTGTGTGTGTGTGTGTGTGTGTGTTAGTGTGTTAGTGTGTTAGTGTGTGTGTGTGTGTGTGTGTGTGTGTTTTAGTGGTTAGAGGAGGTCAGATGACAGAAAGACGACACAGAAACGGCTCACATCCATAAATATGGATTTTTTCCTTCGCCTGATAAAATGCAGCATCATCCATCTGACGCAAAAACAACATGGATCCCAGCATAAATCAGACCAAAAGGGGAGAAATGTTATAGCTCAAGCTTAGTAAAAAGCAGAAATAATAGCAAAGAGAACAGCTTTTAATGGGCACTCAGAAACCAGACACATAAAATCTACTGAGCTTTCAGAAAGGAGGGCGAATTAAAGAGAGAAAAATAAAGAAAATTATGTCTGTTTATTTATATTTGTTCAGACTTTGATAATGGGCCAAACAAAGACTTCAGACTGAAAAACAAACACAGCACAGGGCTACTTCACATTAGAAAAAAATATATTTCACTCTTTTTTATGAGAGAAAAAAGAGAGGACGTGTCCATTCAGAGAAATTTCACCATATCTGGAAGGAGAGTGTCAAAACTTCAAAGTATCCAAGAATTAAAACTTAAAAAACTTTTTGTTGGTCTGACAAAGACTCACAACTCGTTTTGAGTCGTAATGACTCCACCAACCTTCCTTTCTTTACTTTTGGCAAATAACCAGGCATGCAAAACATCTTAAATGTGCTGGAGAAATAGTTTTAGATGTTTCTTTTTGGTCTGATGTCATGAATAAAGTACTTTATTTCCTTCTGTTTTGCATTGAGATTTTTTTAAGTTTAGAAGTTGTCGGGGACTAAATGGGGCCCTTTGTGCTTAAACCTTATTCAAACGGTTTGAAATATGGACAAATCAGCATAAACGGCATTTTATCTCCTCTTTGGGAATCACTCGGATTTGAAAATCAAATGACATCTGAAAATGGAAAAAAAAGAAGAAATGGGGGCGACAAATACAAATAAGATATCCAGTGTGTCCTTTTTCAGTCCAAACACACGTCTTCTTATGTCTTCTGCCATTTGTGTTTTTCCAAAATGTTTTTTCTTTGGTTCTAAGTTGGCGTTTCGGGTTAGATGTCAGAAACCTGAGTCAGTGGATAAAGAGCAAAGGCTTTCAAAGTGTCCCCGGTACTGCTGTGCACGTTTTCCTGGAGTCTTCAGAGGAGTCCTGAGGGCCCGGGGGGGGTCTCAGGGGGGGTACCAGAGGGGTTAACAGAGGGGGCCACAGGGGGGGCCATGGGGGCCTCCTCACTCCTCTTCTTCCTCACATGATAGTAATGCTTCTTCGATTTCAGATGAGCTGCAGTTACAGGAAACAAACAGAGAGTTAAACACAGAGTTAAACAGAGACAAACACAGAGTTAAACACAGAGACAAACACAGAGTTAAACAGAGACAAACACAGAGTTAAACACAGAGACAAACACAGAGATAAAGCCAGAGATAAAGCCAGAGATAAACAAGGAGATAAACACAGAGTTAAACACAGTTACAAATACAGAAGACAAACACAGAGTTAAACACAGAGTTAAACACAGAGATAAACACAGAGTTAAACACAGTTACAAATACAGAAGACAAACACAGAGATAAACACAGAGTTAAACACAGAGTTAAACACAGAGTAAAACACAGAGTTAAACACAGAGTTAAACACAGAGTAAAACACAGAGTTAAATACAGAGATAAACACAGAGATAAACACAGAGTTAAACACAGAGACAAAAACAAAATGATAAACACAGAGATAAACACAGAGTTAAACACAGAGTTAAACACAGAGTTAAACACAGAGATAAACACAGAGTTAAACACAGAGATAAACACAGAGTTAAACACAGAGACACAGAGATAAACACAGAGACAAACACAGAGACAAACACAGAGTTAAACACAGAGTTAAACACAGAGTTAAACACAGAGACACATACAGAGTTAAACACAGAGTTAAACACAGAGTTAAACACAGAGACAAACACAGAGTTAAACACAGAGTTAAACACAGAGACAAACACAGAGTTAAACACAGAGACACATACAGAGTTAAACACAGAGACACATACAGAGTTAAACACAGAGTTAAACACAGAGTTAAACACAGAGATAAACACAGAGTTAAACG